ACTCATAGGGATATTATTGTGGATCACTGCTTTACATCATTGATCTACCTACCAAGTAGGTACAATTACAAGATGGCAGTGCCATCTTCACAGAATGTTACAAAGCCCATGTTTTTGTAATACTTAAACATTAGTCCATTCAAATTTATTTTATGTTTTTGGTCTTAATCCTAAATAAATATACTCTTCTCAAGCCATAGATTAACTTAATTTCACATCATCAAAGATATTACTTGCTTAGTAGTACTTTGCCTATTCTGAAAATGCCCTTCACTGGATATAAGAAGTCTCTTTCTATTATCAAGAAAAAAAAGTTTAAATTTTTGTTTTTTTATATAATTGAACTCTGAACTCTGATTTTCCCAAAAATAAAATGCATGTGGAGTAAAATTAAGTCTGTGAGCACTGTCTCTATCAGGTATGCTAAAAGAGCCTGTAGTGTTAAAAAAATAACCATTTTACACCAAAAGATAATATTTTAATAACAAGTATATAACTTTAGTCATTCTCATGGTGCTTATCTAAACAGTGTAATAAACTAAAGGTCAAATGGCTAATATTTCTAATGTAAAAAAATAGGTTTTTTTTATTGTCCTCCATTATGGGAGCCTATCTTTGAAGATCGTATCTGATGATTTTTTTTTTTTTTTAAGATTTTTATCTATTTATTTGAGAGAGAGAGACAGAGACAGCACAAGCAGGGGGAGAGGCTGGGGAGAGGGAGAAGCAGACTCCTGCTGAGCAGGGAGCCCAATGTGGGGCTCAATCCCAGGACCCCAGGATCGTGACCAGAGCCGAAGGCAGACACCCAAAAGACTGGGCCACCCAGGGGCCCCAATAGTATCTGATGATTCTTAACTCCTGATATTCATGTCCCCATTTCCCCTTCCACATTGAAGAGGGTCACCCTGTTTAACCAATAAGATATTACAGAAATGACAGAGCATAACTTCTGGCACTAGGTCATAAACAGTTTCTAACTTGCTCTCTCTTGGATTACTAATTCTGGGAAAAGTCAATCACCACATCAAGAAGACAGTCAAGCAGCCCTATGAAAAGGCAATTAACTGAGGCTTTCTGACTATAACAAGAACTAACTTGCCAGGAATCTGAGTGAGCTACCTTGGAAGCAGATCCTCCAGCCCTAGTCAAGCCTTTAGATGACTAGCACCAGATGACACTTGACTGTGACCTGATGAGAGACCCTGAGCCATAACTATCCAGCTAAGCTGCTCCCATCCTGACCCACAGAAGCTGTGACAGCAAATGCTTACTGGTTTCAGCTGCTAAGTCTTGGGTTAATTTCTTATTTAGCAGTAGATAACTAAGAATGGCAGGGTATACCAGAGAAAGAATGTGGACTGAGAGGTTAACAATAAAATGTGTCTTGATGACATCTTTGAAGTTGAGAGCTCTTGGACAGGTTAAGTCTCTTGTGCCTCAGTTCTGTCATCAGTAAATTGAGGACAATAAATTGTGTCTCACAGAACTCTGAACAATAAGTGAGATAAAAGAATTTAAAGAACCTTGAAAATGATTTGTCCTCAGTAAGCATTTCTTTCTTTAGATTGTGCTTTATTTTGCACATTTTTTTAAAGGTTTTTAGATTATTCTCAGTACACAGATATGGATTTTATAAGATGTGGAAGAACTATAGGCAGAGATGAGACTAAGGATGTTCAGGTACTGCCTTTTTTATTTGTTTATGTTATTTGTTCATATTTATTTGAATGAAGACCTGCCTTTGAAGATCTTAATTTAAAAGAGATGAGTTTTTATAAACATTCTCTTAAGTAGAAGTGAAGACATAAGTTATTTCTGAATATTTTTGCAAGCTTGAAGTAGAAAATATCTCTAGGAAATAGAACTTTTCCAGATCTTGTAAAAACTCTGCCACACTTTGACAGGGTCTCTGACAGCTTCATGTTTCTCTGTTAGTGACCTCGAAAACGTGCTCTATTTCTTCTCTGTGTGTCTACCTTGATTCCATTATTTCCGTGTCTTTGACTAAGTAAATTCAGAAAGTGTGAGTGTTTGTATGTGCAGTCTTTTATTTTGCTAATTCATAACTGACCTGCAATGCCCTTACCCTTGCCATTTAACACTGACAGTTCAAATTATTTTTGATAGTCTCTGAAGTGCCATAACCTACACAAGGTGCATGGACTCTGCATGAAGATTTGCAAGACTTTTGAGTTCAAATCCCAGCTCTGCCACTAACTGTATAAACCTGTGCAAATTACTTAAAAACACTCTGTGCTTTGGTTTCCCCCAAGCAAAAGGTGACAATAATAGTATCTACCTAATAAGTTTGTTGTGAAAATAAAATAAAATGGGTTAATGTCTGTTAACAATTTAGAACAGTGCCTGCCAAACAGCAGGTGCTTTTTACATAGGTAGTTTTTCATTTTAATGAGATAAATATTTGAATGGCCTGGGCCCAGAAGGTAGCATGGTAAACCCACTCAGTGAGTGTAACAACCACCATTTGGCAACAACCAGAGCCCTTCTATTTCCTACTCCTTGCACATTCTCAAATTTGCTTCACTGTAATTTTGAGAGGATTTTATATACTCTTGTGGTATTTGATAATTTGAGTATTTCCTCAGATATAACCTTAACGAATGACAGATACATATTTCACTTTGAAATAAAGTATGTTTGCCTTTGACGAGTGCATTTGATTTTCACAGCTCCCAGATTTTCTCTAGGTGTGTGAGTGTGTTGGGAAAGGTCATTAATTGGAGAGAATCAATCCACCTTTTTTAGCAGTGGTTCTAAACTCCTTTGAAAATGTAATAAAAGCTATAGTCCATCTCTCCAGTAGGAAAAAAGTCACTGAAGCTATGACTATGGACACCAATGGGTCCTTTGCTGTTTTTGCTATAGGCCAAGAAAGTCGACTAAGGATTATTGTAGCCTTTTCTGACAATGGTTGCTGAATTTAGGAAAGGAAAAGAGAGAGAAATAGAAAAAAAATTCAGGACATCATTTCACAAAATACTGGAAACCAAAAGGACTTTAACAAAGGAGCTCTCACTTATACTACTAGGGATAATTCTGTTAGCTTGTAAGAAAGGTATGACACAGATTCAAAAGGGACTTTGAGAGATATGTAAAAAGTTTGTCATTATTTAATCTGCACTTTGTGGAAGAACCAGGGATTTGGGGGGCCCTTGCAAGGGAAGGTTCTGAGACATGGAACTGAAGCTCCATTCACCCCACATCCACCAGAGAAGTCCTGCTTTCAAAGATATTACTTACTGGACTTCCACATAAGATTGTATTTGAAAAAAGGGTTTCATAACTTACAGAGGATTGGAAAACACTCTTCTAGATGTTTGTCCATATAATCAAAAAACTGAACTTCTGAACCTGGATTATCAGAATCTGAGGAAGGTTATTGGCTGATATACAATACTGTACCGTAGGACAAGGGTGACCACAGACTAGCTTATCTAATTCTAAGAACATAAAAAATGGGGCTTCTATGAAGCCCCAAAGAGGTAGATTTAGAATTAGTAAAAACATTAAGTAGTAAAAAGAATTAAAGATTGAGTACCCCAAATTACAGAAGAGGTTGCATAAAAATAGTGGCAAATAATTGTAGATAAAAGCAGAGTCGGTTATTCAGATCAAACGAGATAGTTATAGGGATATCCTTTATTTTTAAGGCTGGTGTTGAAGAAGGAGAAGGTCTTTTACAAATCTTCTTTTGATTACAGTTTAAGAAAAAAAAAAGTACCTGCTATGTCCCATCCACTGTCATCTACTATGGCAATATCTAAGCTCTTATGTCATTTCACTAGTTTTCAGTTCAGACATTTAGCTGTCCTTAGTCATGAGCCATGGTATAAATAAGTAAACCCCATACATATATATGTTGAACAGTGTGGAATTGCCAATATTTAGCTTTTTTGACTAAAAATGGCAGTTTCATATGGCCCAACCTAGCATTTTCTTGAACATATTCCTCCCTAGTTTTGGGGCCAAAAAAAAAAAATATATATATATATACATATACATATATATATATATATATACACACATATATATATATTCTAGATAATGTGGAATTGCCAATATTTAGCTTTTTTGACTAAAAATGGCAGTTTCATATGGCCCAACCTAGCATTTTCTTGAACATATTCCTCCCTAGTTTTGGGGCCAAAAAAAAAAAAATATATATATATATACATATACATATATATATATATATATACACACATATATATATATTCTAGATAATATCCTCCCCTCTGCATTACATCTTCCAGTTAACCCACATGGGTCCCACTCTTCTTTGATGGCTTGATAAGAGCAGCTGAAGAGGTCTGAATGAGCCTACTGGTTGAAAGTAAAGAGAAAGTAGTCAAGTCCTGTCTTCTCTTGTTCAATAGCTCTTGTCAAGGCTTTTCCTGGGGCTCCTCAAGGGGACAATCACAGTAGCCCTAAAATCCCCTTGGTTAGTCCTTTAACCATGTATTTTATCTCCTCCAAAGGCCCTTTAGTGACAGAATATCTAAAACATAGTGTTCTATAAAATGAAATGTTAAAATGCCTTGCAGGAGAGTAAGGCAGGTGAAAGGGTTGAGACTTCTCAAGGAAGCCAGGCAGAGACAGCAGCTCCGATTGCTTTTGGAGTGCACTCATGAAAGCTGTGCCCAAGTTCTTTAAAAGCTGGTTTACTTCCCAAGTAAACATGGTTGCCAGCAAGAGCAATGGTGTACTGGTTCAGAAAGGAAGGGAAGAAATGAAATGTATCAGCGACACGGGATTTGCAGGCATTTCTGTGATCATATAAAACCAAAGTGGACATTTCTTCTAGATGCTATTAGCTACTCATCCCTCCCATGTGGGCCCCTTCAGTTTGCCTGACTGCGAGGAGGCTGCTGAGAATCATTCAAGCCAGTTAAAGAAATGGCTTCAAGTAAGTATCTGAAACACAAACACATTAGCTCAAAGTGCTTGAAACACAGTAATAATCACAAAGTCCTTACTTCTTCTCTCCTTTGTACCATTCAAAGGCCGGAGGCGGCACACCTGCACCTTCGCATCTTATCAATCCACTGCGTCCCGGGGCCACGGTGCCAGATTTAATTTCCTGAATTGTAGGAGCGACTGAAAAAGAAACAAAGAAAGAAACTGGTGGTTAACTAAAACTACTCATCAGCAGAAATATAACACACATATATTTTTATTCCTTCTATATTCAAAGCAATCTTATGCCTGATAGGCCAATGCATCACATTTTCAGTGTTTTATGCTTCTAATACAAGACTAATCATTTTCAGCTTCATTTTTCAAGTTGGACAATAGATGAATGTTCCCAAGGAATGCAGAGTAAATGCAATACATTTTGGCCTTGCTTCCTGTGGGAAAAATGGCATTGTAGAGGGGAACACTTCATCTGTACTCCAGTCAAACTACACTCCCATAATAGCTCTCATTTATTGAGTGATCACTGGGAGCCAGTCACTGGGCTAGGTGCTTTACGTTCATGATTTCCTCAGGGTCATACTCTAAGCTAGATGGGATTATCCCAATATCAGAAATGTGAACACTGAAGCTCAGAGAGTTTAGATAATTTACCTAAGGTCACACAGCTACTTAGCTGCAGAATTTGGGCTTAATATTGGCATATTGACTTAGGCATATTGACTCAAAGCCTGAACTCTTTTCATTTTTGTGTTTTCTTCTGCCTGTTCCCTGCGCTTTAGCACATTAGTGACTTTTTTGGTTGTTTCTTCTACCTGAAATGCTATTCTTTTCCATTTCTACAGATGCAGCCTCAATTAGGTGTCTCCATACTCTTTCCTGTTGCTCTGGTTGAAAATAGTTTTCCCTTCTCTCAACAGTTTATCTAAATCTCTCTCATACCATATACTTTCTATCTTGTATTGTAATTATTTATGGGTATGCCAGCCTTGCTTGTTAGCTGCCTGAAGGCAGGGTGAGTATCTTGTTTATCTTTGCATGTTCTAAGATCAAAGCACACAAAATGATGCTTAAAAAGCTTCTTTGTAGCATAGCCACTCCTTTACTCATCAAATAGTTGTTGAGCCATCAATATATGCCAGATATTTCTCAAGGCAAAAAGCAGTCCATTCTTCTGATGTGATGAAGTTTATGTTCTAGATGGAGGGAGGGATGTGGAGACAGACTATAATCAGTAAATAGAATAAATAATTTAAATAAAATGTTAGAAGGTGGTAAGAAAGATGGGAAAAAATAATTAGAGCAAGATAAGAGGAATATGTTCAAGGAATGGACTGTAATTTTATGTAGGGTTATCTGAGGAAGATTCATTGAGGAAGTGAGATTTACATAAAGACTGCTGTAGATCAGTGAGTTTGCTTTGTGGATATCTCGAGAAAGAGCCTTCCACGAAGAGGGAACAGCTAGCAGTAAGGCCGTGAGGCTGAGGCAAGCCTGGTTTGCTTGAAAAATACCAAAGATAACCATGTGGCTGAAGCAAAGAGAAAGAAGGGAGATTATCAGGAGATGGAGTATGATGGTTAATTTTGTGTAAAGTTGATTGCATTGCAGTGTCCAGGTATTTATTAAACATTATTTCTGGGTTTGTCTGGTTCTGGATGGAAATAACATTCAAATCAGTGGACTCAGTGAACTGTATGGCCCTCTCCCATGTGGGTGCACACCATACAGTCCCATTGAAGGCCTGAATAGAACAGAAGGCAGAGGAAGGGAGAATTCCCCCTTCTCTCTCTGACTGTTTGAGGTAAAACATTGGTCTTCTGCCCTCGGATCGAGATTTATACCATTGGCTCCCCTGGTTCTCACTGGCCTTCAGACTTGGACTGAGCTATACCACTGACCTTCCTGGGTTTTCACTTGCAGACACCAGTTCGGGGGCCTTCTCAGCTTGCATAATCACATGAGTTAGTCCTCATAATATAATCTCTGCGTGTGTGTGTGTGTGTGTGTAGGTAGATATGTATAAATATGTATGTGTGTATTTATCTATCTAGACATCTATAGATTTATATATATGTGTGTGTAGGTAGATATGTGTAAATATGTATGTGCATATTTATCTATCTAGACATCTAAAGATTTATATATACGTGTGTGTGTAGGTAGTGGTTCTGTTTCTTTGGAGAACCCTGACTAATACATAAGGCCAAAGGTGGGAAGATCAGCCAAGGGCGATTTTAAGGACTTGGTTTTACTCTGAGTGAAATGGTGAACTACCATAGAAGAGATATAATCTGATGTTCATTTCAAAGGTATTTTGGCTGCTGTGTTGAGAAAAGACCATAGTGAGGCCAGAAGGGAAGCTGTGATCTTGTAGGAAGCTGTTGCAGTAAGCAAGGCAAGTGATGCTGGCAGCTCAGGTTAGGGTGGCAGCACTAGAGGTAGTGAAAGTAACTGGCTTTGGAGTCTTTTGTGAAGTTGAAGCCAATAGGATTTTCCTAACAGATGTGAAAAAAAGAAATGAGTCCAGGGTGACTTCATCTGGCTTAACTGGAAGGTTAGAATACCCATTGCCCGAAATGGGTAAAACAGTTAAGTCGATGAGTTTTGGAGAGAAACATTAAGCGTTGTATGCATGTGTCATTTTCTTTTGATAGATTTGATTTTTTTTAAAGATTTTATTTATTTATTTGAGAGAGAGAATGAGAGAGAGAGAGAGTACATGAGAGGGGGGAAGGTCAGAGGGAGAAGCAGACTCCCTGCTGAGCAGGGAGCCTGATGCGGGACTCGATCCTGGGACTCCAGGATCATGACCTGAGCCGAAGGCAGTCACTTAACCAACTGAGCCACCCAGGCGCCCCGACAGATTTAATTTTTTAAAGCAGTTTTAGTTCACACAAAACTGAGTGGAAGGTAGAGAGATCTCCCATATACTCCTTGACCCAATACATGCATAGCCTCTCTGTTATTGACACCCCCTACCACAATGGTACACTTGTTACAGTTGATGAACCTATATTGACACATCAGTATCACCTAAAATCCATAGTTTACATTAGGTTTCGCTCTTGCTGTTGTATATCATATGGGTTTAGACGAAAGCATAATGGCATATAACTATCATTATATCATACAAATTATTTTCACTGTCCTAAAAATCTTCTGTGCTCTGGTTTGCAATCTCTACCACCCCTCCACTCCTGGAAACCACTGATCTTTCTATTGTTTCCAAAGCTTTGCATTTTCCAGAATGTTATATAGTTGTAATCATAGAGCATGTAACCTTTTCAGGTTGGCTTCTTTCCCTTAGTGTTATGCATTTATGGTTCCTCCATGTCCTTTCATGGCTTGATAGATCAATTCGTTTTAGCACGGAATAAGATTCCATCATCTGGAAGTACCACAGTTTATTCATCCATTCACTTACTAAACAATATCTTGGTTGCTTCCAAGTATTGGCAATTATAAACGAAGCTGCTGTAAACATCCATGCACAAGTTTTTGTGTACATAAATTTTAAGTTCCTTTGAGTAAATACGAAGGAGTGCAATTGTTGGATCACATGATAAAGGCATGTTTAGTTTTTTGTAAGAAACTACCAAACTGTTTTCCAAAGTGGCTCTATCACTTTGCATCCCCTCCAGCAATGTATGGCATTCTTGTTGCCCCACATCCTAGCCAGCATTTGGGACTGTCAGTGTTCCAGATTTTGGTCATTCTATTATGTGTGTAGAGGTATCTCATTGTTTTAATTTGCATTTCGTTGCTGACATATGACATGGAGCATCTTTTCATATACTTAATTGCTATCTGTATATCTTTGGTGAAGGTTCTGTTAAGGTCTTTGGCCCATTTTTTAATTGGGTTGTTTATATTCTTATTGTTGAGTTTTAAGAGTTCTTTGTATATTTTGGATAACCATCTTTTATCAGATGTGCCTTTCAAATACTTTTCCCCAATGTGTGGCTTGTCTTTTCAGACTCTTAATAGTGTGTTTCACAGAACCAAAATTTCTAATTGTAATGAACTCTAGCTTATCAATGATTTCTTCCGTGGATGGTGCATTCCTTTTGGTGTTGCAGCTATATCTATCTCCTATCATAACTATCTTCTAGATATGCATATCTATTTTCATAAATATTTTCTGTCAATCTTTTTAACATACTACATATTTGAAATAACACATATGAACACTATGGGAAAGTGTTCAACACAACAGGAATCATGAAAATGCAAATACTAATTCATTCAGACAAATGACCTGAGTAAGTGTGCACTCTGGATATATTTTAGGTTTCTTTAGAAAGCAAGAAAAAAGTACAGAGTTTAATGATTTTTCAATATGCAGTGAATATGAAAACTGTAAACACCCTTACAACAGAACATTGTGTTTTCTTTTAAAAATACCCTAGGAAATTCATCATTTTCTGTTAAGGGTGATACTTCACTTTGAAATTATAGCACCTCTATTTCTCTGTGGTATTTTTATTCTTAATAGTTAAAGTTCAATTTATAGTTCTGGAAAGAAACTTACAAAGAAATGTTATTTTTATTAAAGTGCTTGCTAATAACTTGGTGAAAATGATAAAAACAAGTGTTACCAAAAATATTTGAAGAAGAAAATGTTATGACATAATACATATGCACATTTATATATGTATATACATAGTATATATGTAAATACATAAGTACATATTACATATATGTGTATATATATCTGTGTGGGTATATATGTCTATTTATTCATGTGTGTGTACATGTACATATATACACAAATATATATATACACACTCATACAATATAAGAAATCATTTAATAAATTTAATTATCTTTGTAAAGCAAAATTCACATCTCCCCATGAAAGGCAATAAAATATACAAAAGACATCTATAAATAAAACCCCACTTATTTGTCAATTATTATGATACTTTTTTGCTTGTGAGAGCCATAGGTAGGATTGTATTTCCACTCTTGTTCTCAAGAGGCTTTAATCTCTCTTCCTCTCCCTGTCACACTAAGAGGCCAGTTGGATCTTTTATAATATCCAACTATTATTGAAGATGAAATAATCATATGCAACAGGAGATCCATCACAAGCTTCTATTGATAACCTGGTTAGTTTAATTACTTTCTTGTTTGTCAAGGGGGCCATGACTCATTATAAACAAAACCATGAAATCCGG